TTGGAATAGAGCGACCCAGGGCCTCACACATGCTAGGCAAGCACTCTACCACTGAGCTATATCCCCAGCCCTAGACCTTCATTGTTTTTGAAATGAAAGAATGAGTGGTCCCTGCCTTTGTGCTTCATTTATATAATTGGAATAGATAAGAATTATTTCTCTCCACCAGGGGTTGGTGAAGCTCCAGCACAGTATGGATGAATGATACCAGTTTTAAACTTCTTTGAAAAATGTTAACTGCTATGCAAATGTCAGTTAGCAACACTATTACCTAACCCAGCAGCTCAGTTAAACAAGGTGCTTTGGAAGGCCAGAACTTGACCCATGTCCTCAGAGCACTTGAAATAATCACAGGTAAGTGCTACCTGGAGAACCAGGTGCTGTAGCTGGTGCTGCTAGGTACCTACTCAATATCCATTTTGCCATCCTTCCTTACAAACAGAATCCTAAGGTTGGGAATATAGCTCAGTGGTTCAGTGCTTGCCTGGAATACAACAGACATTAAAGAAAGAAAAACAACAAGCTGAGCATGGTGGCACAGGCCTATAATCCTAAGGACTCAGGAGGCTGAGACAGAAGGTTCTCAAGTATTGAGGCCAGCCTCATCAACTTAGCAAGAATTTGTCTCAAAATAAAAATATATAAAACTTAAAGGGCTGGTGATATAGCTCAGTGGTAGAGCATCCCTGGTACCTCTCCCCCCAAAAAAAATAAAAACCCTAATTCTGTTTGAGCAGCATTGTGCTCTATCCCTGCCTCCTTACACTGTAGCCACCCAGACAGAACTGGAATTTCTGGGGGACAGGGGACAACTTCTGACAAAGTTCTTAAAAAGGAGTCAAGTTCCACATGTTCTCTTTGCTCTTTCCTCCTTCCTTTCTGGGGCACAGACAAGGCTTCAAAGTAGAATCGTCCTGGGGCTGGGGAAGTAGTTCAGTGGTAGGGCACTTGCCTAGTATGTGCAAGGCCCTGGGTCCTATCCCCAGGGCCCCCCTCCTCCAAAACAAAACAAACAAACAAAAAAACCCCAAAAGCAGAATCCTACTGTGTTAGCTTCCCGTTGCTGTGATGAAATACCTGAGGTAAGCAGTTTATTTTAGCTCAGGGCTTCAGAGGTTTCAGTCCAAGTTCCCTTGTTCCCGTTGCTTTGGGACTGTGGTGGGGCAATACATTATGGCAATACAATACGGTACAAGGCAATGAAACTGCTTACCTCAAAGTGGCCAAGGGGTAAATTGAGGAAAAGGCTGGGGTCCCAATATCCCCCTTCAAGGGCACACCCCCCTCCCAAGAGGCCCCACCTCTTAAAGATTCCACCGCCTCCCTATGGCACTGCAGGCTGGAGACCAGGCCCTCAACACATAAGACTCTGGGGGACATTTCAGATCCAAACTATAACATGTGCCATCTTGACCTTAGGAAACAGACACAAGATGGTGGGACAATACCCTGAGTCCCTGGAGACACCCTTGAGCTATTCTCCCAGCCCTGAAATGCCTACCCCTAAATTTCCTATTGCCTAAAAAAAAATAGCCTGAATGATGAAAACTGTACTTAAAATAGCTGGTTTACTTCTCATACAATCCTATGACAGACATTGCCAATGCCAACTCTACAAATGAAAGCTTAAAGAAGTGAAGGAGGACTCTGGAGGCTAAGGCAGGAGGATTGCGAGTTCAAAGCCAGCCTCAGCAACTTAGGGAGAAACTAAGCAACTTAGTGAGACCCTGTCTCAAAACAAAACATAAAAAGGGCTGGGCATGAGGCTCACTGATTAAGTGGCCCTAGGTTTAATGCCTGGTACAAAAAAAAAAAAAAAAAGGAGGAGATTGTACAAGATCATACAGCTAAAGAGCAGAGCAGAACAGAGATTCCATTCCAAGTCTAAGTCTTTTCTGTTTTTTGTTGTTGTTGTTGTTTTTGGTACTAGATATTGAACTCAGGGGCACCCAACCACTGAGCCACATCCCCAGCTCTACTTTGTATTTTATTTAGAGACAGGGTCTCACTGTGTTGCTTAGTGCCTTGCTCAGTTGCTGAAGCTGGTTTTGAACTCACGATCCTCCTGTCTCAGCCTCCCAAGCCGCTGGGATTACAGGTGTGCGACACCACGCCCCACAGTCTTTTCCCTTTTGCCATATTTATCAAGGGAGAAGGAAAAAAAGAAAGGTATATTTGTAAGGACTGTATAAGAGGACTTACAGGCCAGCAGGGGCCATCTATTCAACACAATCTACTCAATCCTGCCAAATGTCAGGTATTAGGTGTGAGGAATATCACAGTGAGTGAGTCAGACCAAGTCCATGGTATCTCTATTTTAGAATAGAATAAGCAAGTACATATAGGCCATGGGGTGATAATTACCATGAAGAAAATTAAGCAGGATAAGGTGGGGGATACAGGATACTATTCTTTTTAAAAAATATTTTTTAGTTATAGGTGGATACAATATCTTTATATTTATGTGGTACTGAGGATCGAACCCAGTACCTCATGCATGCTAGGCGAGTGCTCTTCCTCTGAGCCACATCCCAGCGCCTCCCCCGTTTTTTTAAAATATTTTGTTGTTGTTGTTGTAGTTGGACACAATACATTTTTTATTTATTTATTTTTATGTGGTGCTGAGGATCGAACCCAGGGCCGCACACATGTGAGGTGAGCACTCCACTGCTGAGCCCCAGCCCAGGATACTATTCTTTAGAAGAACTCTCAGAGATCTATGAGGTGATCTATCCACCAGATCTTTAAGAAGTGATGGGGAGGGCTGGGGTTGTGGCTCAGTGGTAGAGCGCTTGCCTAGCATGTAAAAGGCCCTGGGTTCAATCCTCAGCACCACATAAAAATAAATAAAATAAAGGTATTGTGTTCAACTACAACTAAAAAGTAAATATTTAAAAAAAAAAAGAAGGAAAAAAAGGGCCAGGCACAGTAGCACACATCCGTAATCCTTAGTAACTCAGGAGGCTGAGGCAGGAGGACCACAAGTTTGAGGCCAGATTCAGCAATTTAGCCCTATCTTTAAAATAAAATAAAAAGAACTAGGGATGTAACTCAAATAGAGTGCCCCTGGGTTCAATCCTCAGGGCTACCAAGCAAACAAGGAAGAGATGCAGTGAACCAGGTGTGGATGGGAACTACAGGTATAGAGGCCCTGAGACAGCAGATTGCATGGGGGCCATTGTTCAGGCATAAAGTGATGGAGGGGGAAATAGTTGGTGAGGTCCAAGATGGAGCAACAGGTTGGAGAGGCATTTATGCCATGGTAAGAAATTCGGGGCTTTTACTCAGTGACACAGGGAGTCACAGAAGGGATTTGACCAGAGAACAGAACTAGTTTATAATGTGACGGATGTATGGACACCAGTGAATAGAAGGGAGGGAGAGAGACAGAGGAAGGAGATGAAACAAGAAGGTTACAACAATCCAGGGGCAAGGCGCTAGGACTATGGGTGGGGACGGTGGTAAGTGCTGGTACGACATGGAGTGAGCATGAAATGTGCTCTTGGTTCAGCTCTCAGGATGCCCACTTTCGATTCTATTCCACAGCCATCCTCTCTCAATCTTTGCTCCCTCACTTCCAAACAATTATGAGGTAATCAAAGGTGTCAAGAAGTCAGTCAGATATAGCCAAGAGTGTCTTAAGGAAGAAGGAAAGGCCAGGCTGGGTAGTGGCAATTAGCTGATATATATAAACTTGTCAAGAAAAAGGCTTATTTTGGATCACGGTTGTGGATTTGGTCCATGATAGCATGGCCCCACTCTCTTGGGCAGTACAACATGGCAGAAGCACTTGGCAGAGCAAAATCTGTTCATCTCATTGCCTGGAAATGAGAGAAGAGGAAGGAGCTGGGGTTCCACTACCCTGATCAGGGGTATGTTAGTCAGCATTCCATCACTGGGAGAAAATACCTAAGAAAATCAATTGAGAGGTCAGACTATTTTTGCTTATAGTTTCAGATGTTTCAGTCCCTGACTAGTATGGGCCTTTGGGGAGACAGAACAACATGGTAGGCAACACATGCTGGAACAGAGTTGCATGGCATCTGGGAAACAAAGTAAGAGACAGAGAGATGCAGGAGCCAGGGACAGGATATACCCTCAGGCGGGCACCCCAGTTACTTCCCCCAAATAGGTCCCAACTCCTATTATAGTTTCCACCATTTTCTAATAGTCCATTAAATTCTAGTCCAGGCATGGTGGTGCATGTCTGTAATTCCAGCAGTTCAGGAGGCTGAGGAAGGAACAGCATAAGTTTGAGGCCAGCATCAGCAACTTAGTGAGACCTCGTCTCAAAATAAAAAATAAAAAGGACTGGCCTGTGGTTGAGCACCTCTGAGTTCAATCCCCACTACTCAAAAAAAAAAAAAAAAAAAATTATGAACCATCAATGGATTAACCAACAGATGAGATCAAAGTCCTCATTTCCCAAATGTCCACATCTGAACATGGCTGCACTGGGGACTAAGCCTCTAACACAGGAGCTGAACACCTCCCAAAGGTTGCACCACCTCCCAAAAGTACCATACTGGAGACCATGACTTTAAACACATGGGACTTTGAGGGACATTCAGCTTCCAAACTACAGCACCAGAGGATGTGACAGATGCTGAGGTCACGGGAGACATGAACTCCTAAATAAAGAACTATAAGAAGAAACACATGCTTTGGGGAATCTCCACAGGAAAATTCCCTTCTTTAGAACAGACCATAAACAAGATCCCTCTTCTTTTTCATGCCAAGGAACGTGCTAACCATATGCCAAAGCCAGGCATAACTCATTCCTAGACAGACTCAGGCTTCACAGCCCAGGCTGGGTGTGGGTTTGCGGGTGGGAAGAAGGACAGAGTTAGGAAAGGAGACCAGAGCATGTTATGAAGTGAAATGCCAGATCTCTCTGCCTCCAGAGAGACTAGTGTATACCACTCACCCATTCCCCATTCCCCACAGGACTTCAGCACATTCCAGACAGAGCGTCACAAGAGATGGTATAATGAATATTTATTAGGATGACTTTAATTTAAAAAAAAAAAAAAAAGCCCCAAAGTCTCTGGGCAATAAACTAAAATACAGTCAAAACTAGAATGTGTTAGTTACACACCTTGCTGAAACACAGTGGTTCCTTCAGTGAGAGCGAAGGCTCTGCAGAAACTTCCACATTATTCCCACTGCCTCCCCATTTTTCAGAAGTCCCTACTAAAAGGAGGAGGAAAGTGAGGCACAGAGGTAAAAGGAGCATTCAGAGGTCAGATTGCCAGGAGAGGCACGTGGGAATTGGGCTCAGAAATCTCAATGGTTCCACATGAAATGCTCCCCTGGTACATTACTGTGGCTACTGCTCAGCAGGAAAAATAAGTCACTGTCTTCTTCTCGTTGTTATTGTTTTGTTTTTGTAGTGCTTGAGATGGAACCCAGGGCTCATGCACACTGACTGCACCCCCAGTATACCATGGTTCTTGACCAGTTACATCTCAGCACTGGGGCAGCAGGCAAAGTGGCAAGAGAACCAGGCCATGACTTGACACCCAGTGACCTGACCAGAACCCAGCGAACAGGATTCACCTGTGGCCCAAGCTCCCTCCCTCCTTCCCCCTTGCCTCTGATGAACACCCATCACTACAAAGTCCAGCCTTCCTGGTGGAAAACCAGCTGCACAGCCTCATTCACATCGTTCACAACATGAGATGCCTCCATGAGCCCCGGACTGAAGTTGAAGTCCCGGTGCCCATGGAATGGAGGCTCCGCTCCTCCGTGGGCAGGCCCCATGGACCCTGGCTTCTGGGGACTGTACACTCCAGTGCACACCAGGATGGAGGCGCAGCTCTGGGTTGCTGAGGGTCGCTGCTTCCACAGGCCACCAGCCACTAGTTCCTCTGCCCTGCCACGCTTCTCCATCTGTAGGTACTGGTGGAACAAGTTGGCACCGTAGACATCAGACATAGGGTTATCTCTGGCAGGGCAGCCAAACCGGAAAAGGAAAAGAGGAGAAAACCCAAGTTCAGTGTCTCAAGGTGGACAACAACTTTGTGGGTACAATGTGACTCAGATACAGGGAAACAAGGGCCATGAGAGCAGAGAAAAAGGGGAGGGAAATTTGTGAAAGGGATGAGGCAGCGATGTGGAGCTTACCCTACAGCATACAGCTTCTGGATGGGGGCAGCCCAGCCCCGCCTCTCCGCCTGCTGCCTGATCAGGTCTTCCGCATACTGGTAAGTGAGGATGCTGGGCTTGCCCATCAGACCCTCGTACCTCAGTTCCTTGCCTGTCACTTTCTGGTAGATGGTTTCCAGGCAAAGTAGAAAGGTACCATGGCCAAACCTGTCCAAGAAGAAGGTTCAGCAGCTCAGTCTTCCAGGCCACCTGCCAGGCCCTATGCAGTACCCACTATACCAACCTTTTACTCCAGGGCCCCGAGGGTGATAGAGAAAGGTTAAAATATTTCTAGCAGGAGCGAACATTAATTGAGCATTCTTCTAGCACTGGGGACATCATCTCACATTTAACACTCGAAAATACCCTTTGGGCTAGATACTATTATCTTCATTTTACCCATGAGGAAACTGAGGCCCAACAAGAAAGAAGGTGCTCATGGTGGCAGAGCTAAAATTACAAGCCAGATGGTCTGACTCCAGAAACCTAAGTCTAAAGTCTGCTTTAGCCAGATGTGGTGGTGCACACCTTTAATCCCAGCAACTTGGGAGGCTGAGACAGGAGGATCACAAGTTCAAGGTCACTGTCAGCAAGCAAGTTAACAAGGCCCTAGGCAACTTAGTAAGACCTTGTCTCAAGATTTAAACTATTTGAAAAAAAAGGGGGCTGGGGATGTGGCTCAGTGGTTAAGCATCCCTGGGTTCAATCCCCAGTACCCAAAAATAAATAAAGTGTGCTTTAGATAAAGTGTGCTTTAGATTTGTGCAGACCCTTTTCTCTTGGTATCAACTTTCAGCTGAGCGTATTGCCACTAGGTATAAAAAGTAAATCCCCTGCCTCCCTTGCAGCTGGATGTAGCCATAAAGCTAAAATAGCATTAAACAGTTCATTTAAACAAAAATGCCAAGCTAAACTTAAGTATCCTTAAAATTGAAGAGGGGGTGTTGTTGTTCTCTTCCTCCTCTACTCCTCCCTGCCGCTTGGAATGCTAATGTGATGGCTGGTATTTGGGCAGCCACTTTGGATTATATAATGAAGGACTTAGGACGGCACAGCAGGGAGACAGAAGATCACTGACAGGATGCAGGTTCTGAACTGCATGACTTATTTCATGTGAGGAGGGAAAAAAAAAAAAAAAAGTTCTATCTTGTTTAAGATATGTTTTGGGTTTTCATCCAAAACAAAATCCTAACTGATATCATGTTACACATTAATTACATTTCAGTGTCACTTATTTATATAAGGAATTCTGTTTTTAATTTGTAAACCATTGAATGAAAATTTTATTGCAACTCTGGATAATTTGAATGAAAAATTAATCTTGAATTTGATTCATAAACTGAAATTTGCCCCTTGTTACTGAGTTCACAACTACATAACCAACCCCTGGCTCAAACTAGTGTCAGCACACCCAAACCTTAGGAATAACACTTTAGAGACAATGCCAAACCTCAAGTTACAGATTATACCGTACATCCCTGTATCTTTGGGGCTATGAGTCATGGAATTGAGGCAATCAGGAGCTCTGACCACCCCTGTTGACCAACCACTGGGAGTGAATGGCAGACTGGCCTTGCAGATAAGAGCAGCCAAACAACGCACAGCAGCATCAACTGTTTTTGTATTCAAGCACTTTGTGGGTCAGAAAAAGGGCCACCTGTCAGCCTCAGAAAAGGACAGAGCACATATTAAGGTCATCACGGCTGAGCAGGGAGCGTGGGCTTCCTCAATACCCATGTACCTTATCCACTTTGCCTCCACTGTCTGGTCTCTGTGACCATCAGAAGAACTCTGGCTTCCCTGCCCCTACATCTCAAGGGTAAAAGCAAACAAAGAAGTGAAAGAACCAATGCTATTGGGCAGAGGCAAGGAAGGAGGTGCAGTTGAATAATTTGCACTAATAATACCTCAAAAATTGGTCCTTGTCCCCTAGACAAGGAAACCAGATTATATTGTTCTATTGTGTACATATACAAAAATGTAACAACAAATCCCATCATTATGTACAACTATAATGCACCAATAAAAAATAGGGAAAAAAAAGATTATGAGAGCAGGATAATATGTTCAAAATCATTTCAATACACCATCATGCCCAGTAATCTGCACTTTTAGTTTAATATTTAACATGTGAAGTGATCCTTGAATGTCCTTCCAAAGGCCAAGTTACTATAGCAACTACAGGGCCTGGCTAGGCGGGTTCTGACCACCCAGAGCTTCAGAATGGTGGGTGGCAAAGTGCCCACAGGACTGCTCAGGCAGCAGCTAGCAGTGGGCTGCCAGAGCCAAGACTGAGGGCCCTCAGTCCTCACCTGGGCATCTTGGCTTCAGCCATCCAAAGAAGATCCACGTTGCTGGCCAAGACAGGGAGATGGGGATAGGGGGCTGTTGCCAGTCCAGTTCCAGGGTTCCCATTGCTGAGGAGGACATCCATGATCAGCTGCAGGCTTGTCTCCCAGCGGATTGGCTCTCCAAGGAGGAGCACCCCTTAAAGAGCAAAAGCACAGAGGTGAGGAGGGTAGGGTACTCAATCTGCCCTTTGTGATGGGCAGGTAGGCAGACAGCCTTCAGGAGGCAACAGAGGCCAGCTGGTGCCACCCACTCAAAGCTCTTCACCTCAGTGCACAGACATGGGCAAGGGCAGAGTTCTCTGAACCAGACCTGACCAAGCCACTTACCCATTCACCCTTGGTGAACAAAGCCCAGGACCCAGAAAGGAGCCTCTGCACTTTAACATTCTCTAACTGGTGTCCACTGGTACTTTACAGAAGAGTAAAAGTACTTTATAAAAGTAAAGTACTTTATAAAAGCAATAAATCTCAAGTACACCGTACCCCAAGTGCACTCTGCAGGGAGCTTTCCGTCCCTCAGCTTTCCCTTCTATCTGAGCCCCAGCAGGCAAAACAACCTAATGGCCAAGAGCAGGGGACTGGACTAATAGAGCCCTGAACTCGAACCTGACTCTGCAAATTTGCCCATAGGACTATGGCAGTTACTTACTTTCTCTAAGCCTTAGTTTCCTCAGTTACAGAATAGCAACACCTACCTATATTGCTGTTATTAGGATAAAAATGAGACATAGTCAACACCTAACCCAGCACAGGCCAAAACAAGCACTTTGTAAATGTGCTGCTAGGAGCTTCAAGACCAGTGATTCTCAAAGGGGCAGTACCTTCCAGAGGGAGGTGTTTTAGACATTGAAGGATATGGGTGCTAGGGATGTGGCTCAGTGGTAGAGTGCTTGCCTAGCATATGTGAAGCCCTGGGTTCAGCAAAATAAAATTGGAGCATATATTTTGTCACAGTGACATACTTAGCAGATGAAGATAGTCCTACACAATTAAATTGTCCCACGTCCTAATAAATCATGGGCTCAGGAGTAGAGTCCTAATAGCATCCAAATGTCCCACCTGATATTCATGGAAGTGAACAACTTGTTCACAGGTAAAAGAGCCAATTCCATTTTACAAATAATCATAAAGTATTTTCGTACTGTTTTAATAAATACTGCTATTTCCAAAAATATAATTATCGTGTAAAAATACAACTTTATCAAGAGCTATTCTCTACTTTGGAAAATCACCAATGTCAAGGCTGCCCCAATGACACACCTATATATTTCACACCTATCAATACTCTTACATCAGTCTGCATCTGTAGCTAGAACACTCATGTGACTCTATGTTTAGTGCAAGCATTTTACTTCTTGGATAATAATATTAATATTAAAATGCATTACAATCTTGTTACTAAAATGTTTTCCTTTTATTTTCCCCTATTACATTTAGGGCTTTATAATAAACTTAACTAATATTTAATATATGTATATGACAGTTAAATTATCTGTGATTTTAATTTCAGGATTCCAAAGGGAATGTTCCAAAATTTTTCCTATACAACGGAAGAACTGAGAAACAGTGGACCAGATTGCCTCTGGGTGCCTCTGCACTCTAACACTCTCTAAGCTTACAATTTTTCAGCATAAAGTGAGTGGCATGAGGAAGGAAAAATTAACAGAAGTCTCAGAGGTAAGGAATGGCAGATCCAGGACCAGAACCCAGGTGCCCTGTTGCCCAATGCCTTCCTGTCACTACAGCAGGCTGAAAGTAAACAGTCACAGTAAAATAGCCTGAGGTCCTGATAGGAGAAAGAAAAAGACCCCACACCCACTTGGGAGGAGGACCTCTTTTACCTTCAATGGCCGGGAAGTCATTCCTCAGAAGGGGCTGCCAAGAGACAAAGAGGCCCATCAACCAACAGTCACTTGCCACTCCTGGAGAATCACACACCAGTCTTTAGGGGTGGGTGAGAGGAATGACACATTGCACACAGATCAGAGGCCTTCCCACAGTGCAGCCCAAGCCAAGGAAAAGCGGCACACGACTAAGGAAGAAGATTCGCAGAAAAAGGAGAAAAGATGACGACCAGGTTGGTCCCAGCACAAGCTGAAGAATACCACAAATGAAGTCAGTGAGGAGGAGGGGTGGTCAGCCATCTTTCCCCAGCTAGAATAGGAAGCAAGACAGGGGCCAGGCAAGACACTCTAGAACCAGGTAGCTAAAGACAAAGGCAGCCCATGGAGAAAAAGGAGCCTTCAGGTCATGGCAGACCACTGTCTTGAGGTCAATTTGGGAGGCAGGATCTTTCACTTTACCAAGCTCTTGGAGTCCATTCCTTCCACAGACCACTGCTCTGCCACCAAAGAGCTATGTGACCAGGAGTGAGTTACTTCCCTTCTGTGGGACTCAGGCTCTAAGATACTCTGAGATCTGTCCTCACTCTACATTCTGGGTCTCCACAGAATCGGCATGGTTCAAGGAGAAAATTCTCCAAGGGGAGGAAGTGTCTAGAGTGTTAGAAAACTCTGGAAGAAGGACTTATAAATAAATAAATAAAACTGCTTTTAACTGAATTTCATCTAATTTTGAGAATGGTGTGAGTTCAGACATAAATTATGTGATATATATAAAGTTCACATGAGAAAGTGAGTCAAGAGACAGGAAGCCATATTGGAGAGGATCACTGAGAAGCCTGGATCACAAGAGACAGGAAATTATGGGCTCAGGAGTAGAGTACTTGCCTAGCATGCACATGGCCCTGGGTTTAATCCCCAGCACTGCAGGAGTGGAGAGTGAAAAGAAGAAAGAAAGAAATCAAGCCAGTGTTTGAATATGAGACAAACCCAAAGGCACATGGCTGGATAAGCAGGATTGCCAGTGTTTCATGAGCAATCTGCTCCTCACAAAGGCAACTCTGTACCATGTTTCAGGATAAAGGAATAGCAGTTGAGTGATTTAACAGAGGTTAATGATTCTCCCAGCAACACTGGGAAAGCCTGTTAGTAAATACGAAACTATTGGTGGAGGAGATGCTAAGGCTAGGAATGGGGATCCCAGCTAATTACAAACAATGCAGAAAGGTCAGGGTTTGGCTCCTTCTGCTTCTCTGGCACACTCTCATCTCTCCAGGGAACTTTAAGGAAGCCAGATGCTACCTCCAAGGAGGCCATAGTGCAGAAGCAGGAACAAACTGCGGTTCTCAGCAGGAAGGCAGTGAGGTCAGTGAGAGGAGCCAACACAGGGAACAGGATAGAACTGAACATTGAGACTCTGGGAGTGTTTCAGAGGGTGAAATGACCCAACCTGTATTCCTTATTACCGTGGTCTTCGGCCGTCGCTCAAGATCCACCATGTCCAGAACTGGGAAGGCCATCCGCAGCTCATCCACAGTAACAACATTCTGGAAGCCCAGTCTGGAGCAAGATCAGGAAAGCAAAGCTGGACAGTTCTAGGGAAGATGCCTTTCAGAATGCATCAGATCACAAGTGAGCAGAACCCAGATCCAGTCTTGATCACACCACACAGGCATTCTTGTCATAAATCCTGCAGGTGCTAGCAGGCAGGCTGTGAGGATACTGGCAAAGTGGTTGGAGGTGAGTAATGCCAGGGCAATCACTCAACAGCCACTGGGCACATTCCAGGTGCCAGGTCACACCCCAGGTGAAAGGGATATAAATCTCTGTCCTCAAGGAGCTTACACATACTCAGAGCCCACACAAACAGCACTGTAAGAACAGCGCTGCCCAAAATGCTGCATTCAGAGGAGATACAGAGGTCTAGGGAGCCAGGCATAGTCTTAGATAAGCTAAGTCAGCTCCAGCATTATCTCCTTCAAGACCTGCCTCCATCTTCCCATTCTTAGTTCCAACTTAGTCTTAACTGGACATGGTTTCAAGTGACTCTGAAATCATTTTCCCCAAAATGACAACTTCATCAGGTTATCCCATCAGCAATATTGCCTGCATTAACTCCCCCTCTGCCCTGAGTTTGCTCCCAAGGTTTCCTACCCCAGGTCCCCTCTTCCTGTTCCCTCTTCTTCCTCACCCCATTCCATTCTAACCTCTTACCTATCATAGCTGGGAAATCCTAACTACCTCCTGGGCAAAGCCCTAATGCTCCATGAAGCCACGGTCAGTGTCATTCCAGCTGCAGGGACAGTCCCTTCCCTTTGATGCTGTGACACCTAAAAACCCATCCCACTCTTTGCAGCCTTCAGTCATATGCCAACGTGTGTGTGTGTGTGTGTGTGTGTGTGTGTGATGCTGGAACTCAAATGTAAGGCCTTACACAAGCTAGGCAAGTGCTCCACCACTGAGCTACACTTCCAACATGTCATATGCCATCTAAAATATTCCTTTGCTGTTCATGGATGTGTTATTTTTGCCTCAAGTACAAACCCTTTGATTAAGTCACAATACCAATTTCTTTGCCTTGGTCCCCTTTTCCCTCTAGAGCACATAGCACAGCGTGATACCCAGAAGACCCAGAATAAATGAAGCAGCTGCTTGAGGACAGTAAACACATCCTCTTCTAGCTGAGCATCCAAGGAAGAGAGCCGGGCCATGCTTCCCAAACCTAGTTATAGAATAACCCAGAGAGCTATTTGGTTTTTTAAAGTACATATTCCTGGGCTAGGGATGTAACTCAGTGGTATAGCATTTACCTAACATACTCAAGGCCCTAGGTTCAATCTCCAGGATAAAAGTAAATACACAAATAAAATTCCAGAATCTGACCTTCAACCTAGTGAAGTAAGACTCCTCATCCAGGGGTAAGGCCCAGGACTCTGTAGTTTGAACTTTGCAGAAGATTCTGATTATGTAGACTGCCTTTCAAGAACTGCCAGGCATGAAGACTGACCATACATAGAACTTGTTCTCACTCCCTGAGAGGCTACCATACTGCCTGTGTACCCTGGCATCCTGAACCCAGCACTCCTCACTATCGTTCCCACTTGGCTGAGGGAGGCAAACCCCTCTCCAATTAGAGCAAAAGGATACGCTTGGGCATTCTCCATCACAGGTCCCTGCCCAGACACTAGCATCCGCTTGTCATGGTACTGGGAGAAGAGCTTCATGGGGCTGTGAGAAAGAATGACTTGGTCTGGATCCACCTGTAGGGACAGGAAAGGAGAGCAGAGGAAGACATATAGTTGAGGGAAAATAATGGAGACATAGGTAGCAGATTCTTTTACCTGGGAAGGAAAAAATTGTCCAGGAAATGAAAGGTGGAAAAGCCCTGTTTGGCACCTGACACTTCTAAAATTTACCCAAACAGTCATAAAAGGAATCTGCCTAATTTGGCTTCTGATACACCAGATACAACAAAAAAGTCATCAAATGTGAGGTCTGACCACTCACCAATTCTGTTGGGCTCTACTCCCTGTCACCCCTTTAGATTTCACAATCCCACTCTAGGAAACCACAGGTTTGCTCAGATGCTCTTTGTCACTATCACAGAAATCTACCCTAGACTTTGACTTTTTGTTTTTGGTTCTACTAAAAGACTTTGTGTGGAGGATTGAACCCAGGGTCCTGTACATGCTAGGCAAGCATTCTACCACTGAGTCATGCCCCCAGCCTAAGACTTGGCTTTTTAATATTTAAACTAACCTTTTTTAATATTTAAACTAACCTTTACTGCAGCCTTTATTGAGAACACTTTTGAAACCCTCTCTGAAAACCCCATAAGGGAACCAGTTTTTTTCCTTTACCTCTGTGTTCAATCTCAAGTAGTGTCACCCAACCAATCAGCCACTTTTGTTAGTGCCTTGGTTCCAAAGGATTCCTTCCAAAAACTAAATTCACCATCACCACCACCACCGCCACCATAATTTATTCAATGCTGGGACTTGAACCCAGGGCCTCACACTCGCTAGGCAAGTAGCTATCACTAAGCGACACCCCAGCCCCTGAATTCATCCTCAACACACAAGATTGTGTCCATGTCAGGATGGAGCATGGAATCACTAGTGAGTGAAGACAGAATACTTTTGGAAGCAAATGCTCATTCTACCACTGAGTCCAGTCCACCTCTTATTTCTGAAAAACAAGGGCTGTTACTACACACTCCCTCCTGGCACGTGGAGTTTTAGACAAATGTGATCCTTGCCTTCTAGCAGCTAAAACTGTAAGAGAACCCTGATGCGCCAAAGGGGGGAAAATTGGATACAAAGAGGATAAACTAAAACTGCCAACTACAAAGGCAAGATTTTGGTGCTCATTCACCATGTATGTGGTGTGTATGTATGTAAAGGAGCTAATGAGTCTTTACTCATGAGGCAAGGAAAACTTCAAGTTATTTTCGCATAGGATTGAAAGATTTCCACTGACCCAACTGGCTATTAACTAGGTTTATTGACCCTGTACCCCAACCCAGGGAAAGGGACATAATGCCAGAGTGGGGTTCCATTAGGAACCCATCAGGACCATTAGGAACACAGTCCTTGGCTTCCACGCCTTGGCTGCTACTGCTTTACCTTGCACCCCAGCAGGGCAGACAGCTCCTGGGCTTTGCTATGTTGTAAGATGTTCCCAGCATTTGTGACAAAAACCACAGGCACCCGCAGCTGCCCCTGGGAGTTCACCAGCCTGCGGAACGCTTCTAGAGCAGCAGGGATCACTCTATGACCCCGCACCAGCACTCCATCGATGTCCAATAGGAACCCAAAAGTGGGTGGGCTCTGCAGAGAAAAGAAAGGAGAATTATCACCACAGGAGTCAAGAAGCAGAAGGGGAGGAAGGAAAAAGAAACAACCCTTACAGAGAGGCTCAATGTCATCCCAGGTCAGTCACTCAGAGCCCTTGAACAACTACATCACAAGGAAAAAAAAAAAACTACAACACAAAGAAAAAAAAATTTTTTTTTTCTATTTCAAACCCAGAGCCTTGTGCATGTTAAACAAGCACTCTACAACTGACCTATGCCAGGCATGGGATTTCTGATTAGCTAAATCTAATTATAACAATCATTCCTTTTTTTTGTGGCTTTTTTTTAAGCACATAAATATTTTAATTACTTTTTGCAGCAAGTGAAGTGGCATACACTTGTAATCCCAGCAATACTGGAGGTTGAAGCAGGAGGATCTCAGTTCAAGACCAGTTTGGATAACTTAGCAAGACTAATTTCAAAATAAAAAATAAAAGAGCCAGGTGCAGTGGTACATGCCTATAATTTCAGTGGCTCAGGAGGCTGAGACACAGGATCCCAAGCTCAAGGTCAACCTCAGCAATTTAGGGAGGCCCTAATCAACTCAAAATAAAATAAAAATAAATCATCTCAAAATAAAAAATTAAAAAAGGGCTGGAGGGGCTGGGGTTGTGGCTCAGTGGTAGAGCGCTCGCCTAGTATGTGCAAGGCCCTGGGTTCGATCCTCAGCGCCACGTGAAAATGGATAAATACAATAAAGGTATTGTGCCCAACTACAACTAAAAAAATAAATCTTTAAAAAAAAAAAAAAAGGGCTGGAGATGCAGCTCAGTGGTAAATTGCCCCTGGGTTAAATCCCCAAGATCCAATATATTTACTTACCTAAGTAAAACAAATAAAAGAATACAATGGCTGGGAATGTAGTTCAGTGGTAGAGTCCTCCTAGGTTCTATCCCCAATATTGAAAAAAAAAATTCTGCATAATTAATATAAAACAACTTTTAAATTAGAAAATAGAGGAATTCAAAGAAAATATAATTCTAGCACTTTAACGTAACCAATTCATACATTTCTGCAGGGAGCAGTGGCTGAGCAACTGAGGCAAGATTTCAAGTGCAGGGCCAGCCTTGGCAACTCAGCAAGACCCTGTGTCAAAATAAAATAAAAATTTTAAAAAAAAATGTCTGGGGGGGCATAGGTCAGTGGTAAAGCAGCCCTTGGTTAAATCCCAGTATCACAAAAAATAAAACAAAACAAAACACCATATCCCTGTCTTTTTTTTGTCCTTTTCTTTTTCTTTCCTTTTTTTTTTTTTTTTTTTTTTCTTTTGGCACTGGGGATTGAACTCAGGGGCACAACCACTAAGTCACATCCCCAGCCTATTTTGTATTTTATTTAGAAACAGGGTCTCACTGAGTTGCTTAGCACCTCCTCATTGCTGAAGCTGGCTTTGAATTTGCGATCCTTCTGCCTCAACCTCGAGTCGCTGGGATTACAGGTATGCATCACCATGCCCAGGTTGTCCCTTACTTATTGTCAGTCCTATAGCTAGAGACATAAATTGCAATTATATATGTGTAACTTTGCATCTTGTTCTTTTTGCTTAATATATTATAAATATTTTTACTAGTTATAACAGCCTTCATAAGCATCATTTAAAATTTTATTTTATCAGAAATTTTTTATCACATACAAAGTTAAACAAATGAAACAACTCAATGGATACAGACAATACAGAAATGCTGTAAAAGTTTATTGTCTCCTTCTTCTACCTGGTTCTCTTCCCTCTCTTGTGTATCTTTCAGAGACCATCTATGGATTACATAGCACATACATCTTTTACACGTTAGCTACATATACCCATGCATGTGTACTTGTGCATGCCTAGACACAAATGAAATCACACTGCACTTTGTTTTCCATCTTACTTTTCTTTCCTTTTTTCTCTGCCTCACCCTCCTGAGCCACTGAGATTCCAGGGGTACACCACCATGCCCAGCTCCCCTTTTTCCATTTTGAGACAGGGTCTCACTAAATTGGTCTCACTAAATTGGCAAGGCATTACAGGTGTGTGCCACCATATCCTGCTCATCTTGCCTTTTTTAAGCTGGTATCTCTTAGCTATCTTTCCATATCAGTACACTTAACTCTACTTTCTAGACATCATTTCTAGCTACATAACATCTGAGTGAATAACCCACTAACATTATATCCACCCCCCACCAATCATTTTTCCCCCAGTGCTGGGGATGGAACCCAAGGCCTTGCTCATGCCAGGCAAGTACTTTACCACTAAGCTACACCCAAGCCCAAGCCCAAGCCCTTTTTAGGATACATTCTTTTTTTTTTTTTTTGTACCAGGAATTGAACCCAAGGTCACTTAACCCCAGCTCTATTTATTTTTCAGACAGGATCTCACTAAGTTGCTAATGGTCTCACTACTTGCTGAAACTGGCTTTGAACCTATGATCCCCCTGCCTCAGCCTCCAGAGTTGCTGGGATCACAGGCGTGTGCTACTGCGCCTAGCTAGGGTAAATCTTTAAAGCAGGAGTAATAAATTGAAGAGTACAAACACTGTAATTATGTAACACCTACTGACAAACTGTTCTCCAAAAACACTTATCAACTTACATGGCCACTGACAACACACTTCATCCTTACAATATCGATTTTCACGTGTATCAGTTAATGATGACATTTTTTATTCTAAATATAAAAAAAAATAGTTCCTCATCTCCATCTGCATTTTCTGGACTCATGAGGTTGAATATTTTCTTTTTTGAAAATGCATTCCATTTCTTATTTTATAAAATGCCTACTAACACATGGATGTTTTCAATTGTCTAAGAAGTCTAACCTATCTGCTACTTTTCTTTTGTTGCTGTCAGCTACGTCATGCCATTCTACAGCATGCATCTACTCTATGTACAGGACTCAGTCTGTGAAAAGCAACTAAAAACACAGATATCTAGTCTTCTAGTCCTGATTTCCCAGCTGGAGTGACAGAACAAATGAGTCTAGAAAACAAACCAATAAAACTGCAGCATTTTGGAGCTGGGGTTGTGGCTCAGAGGTAGAGCACTCGCCTACCATGCGTGAGGCACTAGGTTCAATCCTCAGCACCACATAAAAAATAAAATAAAGATATTGTGTCTATATATAACTAAAAAATGAATATTTTTAAAAAACTGCAGCATTTTGCAAACGCAAATAAGCTTTAAGTTCTGAGTAAATAAGAATTAAACACAGGTAGTTTCTTAGATGGTAATACTGAAGTAGGCAATGAGAGAGTTAAATAAATGCATGCATATAACAAAACTCTCCTAGAGCCTGAACTCCAAGCCCCATGGACACCAGATTAGATATGCAAGAGAGGAGCATAGACAAGGTCCCTACCTACAGTTCAGTGGATAAAATGCTGAGACAAGGAACCACAGAACAGTCAACCCTGAATGTTACTTTAAGAGATGAGGGGAGGGGCTGGGGTTGTGGCTCAGCTGTAGGGTGCTTGCCTAGCATGTGTGAGGCCCTGGGTTCGATCCTCAGCACCAGATATAAATAAATAAAATATTGTGCCCAACTACAACTAAATAGATGAGAGGAGCCAGGCATGGTGGTGCATGCTTGTAATCCCAGTGGCTCAGGAGACTGAAGCAGGAGGATCACGAATTCAAAGCCAGCCTCAGCAATTTAGCCAGGCCCTAAGCAACACAATAAGACCCTGTCTCTCTAAATAAAATACAAAAAAGGGGTGGGGATATGGCTCAGTGGTTAAGCACTCCTGGGTTCAATCACTAGTACAAAAAAAAAAAGAGAGAGAGAGAGAGAGATGAGGGGATGTGTTAGGTTAAAGGAGCCTGCACCATGCCAAGCACAATGGCGCACGTCTTTAAACCCAGCAGCTCAAGAGGCTGAGGCAGGAGGATCACAGGTTCAAAGCCAGCCTCAGTAACTTAGCAAGGCCTCATCTCTAAATAAAATATTAAAAATGGGCTGGGGATGTGGCTCAGTGGTTAAGTACCCTGGGTTCAATCCCCAGTACCAAAAAATGGAGAGCCTGCTCCAGGGGTACCTAACCAATAGGAGCTGGAAGGATTGGCCATCACAGGTCTCCTAGGCCAATTTAAGAACTCTAAAACAGGAAAGTGATGTCATCAGACCTATGTTGTAGAAAAATTTTGGTTGCAGAGAAAACGGGTTGAATGGACTAGAGGGAATGCAGTGGGTGGAGGCCAGTCGGGATCAACTGCAATCTAAGACAGATGGTGGCTTTAAATGGAAAGAACAGGCAGATCCTGCATAGGACTTAGAGCAGCCACTTGTTAGCCATTCAGATGCAGGGCCACAGGGAGGAGCGCAGGAACCCCAATGCCTTTTTTTGGCGGGGGTGTGGGGGGGTGGGGGGGTGCGTTAAGAACCTGGAAGAATGGATACTAATCTGCTGATGCTGATCTCTCATTGAAATCAAGGAGAAGCAGGGAAGTTGGAAGAAAACAAAAGATACTTCTACTCTGGACTTGTGGGACAGGTGTGAAAATATCAGCACTGGAAAGAATGTCCTGGAGATGCAAATGGGGACAGTCTCTGCTCTCAGGGAACTAGGAAGAAAAATGTCATTTAAAGACAGACCATGTAAATGCTGCCAGCAAAAGACTGAGGAGCAGCAGGCAGGGTGAGAGGAAAATCAAGAGGATTTGAGGTCAAGAAGGTCTAAGGACACATTTCTGGGTCAAGTAAAATAGGAAGAGGAGTAACTGCAAAGTAATGATCCTGTCCCCCTCCCACTGAGTGGGTGACACCTAGAGGAGCCGCCTTTAGCTCCTCTATGCTAGCACATGAAGAACCTCCCAGACTTGGACAAGGACAGCTCCAACACCAAGCTGGAGGCAGGGACACTAAAAAACAGGAGGTAGTAACTCAAATTAATGGCACCTGTGACACCAGAAAACAGCTGCCAGAGAGAAATGAAGACCCTTGTGCCATGCAACAAATGCCTAAACAGTACCCAAAGTCTCAAAGACTGATCTTATTTGTGCTCCAGCCCAGGAGACTTACAGTAGGAGACACCAAACCAGACACACAACAATGGCAGTTTTATTCATTCACTGTACCATCACTTTTTTGGGGATGGGAGACAGATGTGGGACGGGTACTGGGGACTAAACCCAGGGGCTATTTACCACTGAGCTACAACCCCAGCTCTTTAAATTTTTTATTTTTAGTTTGAGACAGGGTCTTGCTACATTTCTAGAGCTGGCCTTGAACTCATGATCCTCCTCCCTCAGCCTCCTGAGTTGCTGGGATTATAGACATGCACCACCATGCCCAACTATGTGTACCATCACTTTAAGGAAGTGTCATTATCTCCAAATGGCATTTCCTAGCAAAATGTGCTTAGGGTATACAGGGTGCTTAATATGTAGTCACTGAAGAATCTGACTAGACGAACAAAAATCAATTTCAGGGCTGGGGATGAAGCTCAGCTAGCAGAGCCTATGTGTGAGTCCCTAAGATCAATCCCCAGCATTAAAAAAAAAAACAACTTCAGCAAGAATGAGACAAGGACCACCCTGTTCATAAGTGTGGATTCAGGATTCCACTTCAAAATGAAGTAGCAGCTAAATCACGACTCTGTGCACTGATCAAGGGTAGCACCTCAGAGCACGCAAGGGGTTCAAGGAGGTTTCTTTTTGTCTCGAAAATGCTGTTTCCCTTATCTCCTGCCATCCCCAGCTATGCATTCCAGGTCTTCTCTACACTCAGTATATATTCACACACCCAACAGCCCTCAGGCTCCCTGCAATCTGACAAATTTTACCAGAATGGGATCCTAACTTGGGGCCAGTGAATAGATTTCAAGGTAAACCCCCTTAAAACTCTATGTGCATACTTTTTCTGGGAAAAGGAACCATTGTTCTTTTCAGACAATGGAAATCCTTACTACTACAACTACTTTTCTTATCCTTCTCAAAGAGAATCACTACATGGGTCTGAACAAAGGGGGGATCTGGTCTGCCCTTCTACCACCCCTGGATATAGTGCTTATACCCTAGAAGGTACCCAAGAAAGGTTGACTGCATGTTGAATGACCCAAAGGACGAAAGACTAGAGAGAACTAAGACAGACTTTTCCCATTAGGTTCTTCCTGATCACCCTATCCCTTCCAGAGGGAAGAGTTAGTGACTCAGACATAGTGGGGCAGGCCTATAATCCCAGCCATTCAGAAAAATAAGGTAGGAGGACTGCAAATTTGAGGTCAGTCTTGGCAAATTAGCAAGTTCCTGAATGAAAAAAAAAAAAAGAGCTGGGTTTGAGATGTTGAGATGTAGCTCAGTGGTAGAGCACCCCTGGGTTCAATCCCCAGTGCCGCCAAAAAATAGAGAGAGAGAGGAGAAAGGGATAGACTTTTTCTTCTATCCTCTCCTATTTCTGTATTCTGATTTTTCTTCTGTATCACTTGATCTTTTTTAAACTAGTCTTAAGTATTAGGCCAGATTCTCTAACTGAAATTCATTTTTGTGGTGATAAGATGTGTGATACTGGGGCTGGAATTGTGGCTCGGCGGTAGAACACTTGCCTTGTATGTGTGAGGCACTGTGTTCGATTCCCAGCACCTCTTATAAATAAGCAAATAAAATAAAGATCCTTCAACAACTAAAAAAAATTAAAAAAAAAAAGATGTGTGACACTTAACATTAATTTGAAATGAAAGGACCATAAGATACTCTTTTGTGGTTTTATTTCTTACTTATATTGGTTTGATATGGTTCAAGGGTAAAAACAATCCTTACTACTACAACTACTTCCACAACTGGGAGGTCATTATGCTAGTCACTAGGCAACTACTACCTGTAGATCTTATTTATTCTAAAAAAAAAAAAAAAAAAAATACAACAACAACAAAAAAACAAACCACTGCATGGTAAGTACTATTCCCATTACATAGACACTTACTGACACCTCCTGATGATACTTAGAACACCAAGTAATTTGCCTTAAGCTAAATAGTTAATAAACAGTGCAGGAAGGATTCCTTCCCCACCCCACAACCCCAATATGGGGATTGAATCTAGGGGTACTTGACCAATGAATTACATCACCAGCTCTTTTTAATTAATTAATTTATTTATTTTTAAGGCAGGTCTCACCAAATGGCTGGGGCTGGCCTTGAACTTAGGATCCTCCTGCCTCAATCTCCCAGAGTCACTGGGATACAAGTGTGCACCACTACACTGCCCAGCAGGATTGATTCTAAAGCCAATACTCATAAATTCGATGCTATGCTACATCCCTTTCTTCCCTTTGTTTACTTTTACCAACAAAGTCACTTGGAGATATCTCAGGACCTGCAAAGATGCTAGAGCCAATACAATTAACTATAAATTATGGGAAGATCTCCTTATATTTTTATCATTATGATTTACAAAGTCCTTTTATCAACACATTCCATACTTCTAGCTTGGCTACTTCTAGCTCTGTGACCTTGTCTAAGTAAAATAACAATGGTAACATTGTTAAGAGCTTGGACTCTAGCACCACACTACCTGATTTTTCAGATACTGCCACTTACCAGCTGTGTGCCCTTGGGCAAGTTGCTTAACCTCTCTGTGTCTCAGTTTCTCCATCTGTAAAATGGGAATAACAATAGCTTACCTTACAGAGTTGTTACAAAGATTATATGAATTTAATAATTGTTAGGTACTTAGAATGATGCCTGGCAAAAAAGTAAGCACTATGTGTTTGGGGGATTTTGTTTTGTTTTTTTGTGGTGGTGGAGATCAAACCCAGGGCTTTGCTCACACTAGGCAAATGTGCTACAGTACATCCCAAGCCCTATGTGTTTTAAATGATTTTAAAACATAAAAAGATGCTGGGCATAGTGGTCCACACCCATAATTCTAGCAACTCAGGAGGCTGAGGCAGGAAGATCATAAGTTTGAGGCCAGCCTCGACAATTTAGCTAGGTCCTAGGTAATTTAGTGAAATCCTGCCTCAATATAAAAAATAAAAAGGGCTGGGGATGTATCTCAGCAGTAAAATGTCCCTGGGCTCAATCCCCAGTACTAAAAAAATAAAAATTAAAAAAAAAAAAGATAAAATAAAAGGATTACTGTGACTACACTGTGTAAATGTGGGACATTATTTTATTACATACAGAAACTGTGGGTTTAGAAGACATATGATTCTGCTCTAAAGAAAAGGCAAAAGTGTTGGGCATGATGGCACATGCCTATAATCCCAGTGATCCAGGAGGCTGAGACAGGAGGATCAAAGTATGAGGCCAGCCTCAGCAACTCAGAAGGGCCCTAAGCAACTTAGTGAGATCCTGTCTCAGAATTCTTTTTAAAAATTTTAAAAGGGCTAGGAATGTGGATCAGTGGTAAAAGGGATCCTGGATTCATTCCCTGGTACCAAAAAAAAAAAAAAAAAAAAAGTAAAATAGCTGAGCATTATGTAATTAACAAACCTAGTTTAAACTTCTTAGCATAGTCTACCAGCTTTTGACCTTGGAAAAAGTACATAACACTTAACTCCAGTCTCAGACTTCCTCACTAACAGCAGCAGCACACCTTCCTCCAAGTTGTTGAGAAATGCACATACCTCTACAGTATCTAGAACAAATCATGGACTCTACCTATCCCAGTTCTCTTGCTCCCACTCATCATCTATGATCTCGCTCACCTTCCCTGAACTCTGCACGTAACAGTTGCTCCCTACAAGCAAAGCCCACAGCGAATGGGATCAAAGCAAAAAGCTGCACCAACCCGACAATCACTTCTGCGCTGTGCACTATAGGTGTGACTCAAAAGGGCATCCACCGCAAGAGGCCAAGTCTCTTTGAAATCTGCTTTAAAACCACACCCAAAACGTTCTCATGGTGAAAATCAAAGAAGAAGAGCAGGAATCATTCCCAGACAGAGGAAAATACGACTTTAGAAACTGCCCAGAAACCCGGGGCTGGGAGGAGCTGCGTGCATCAAGGGGCCAAGAAACCATCCCAAGGTCTGGGGCTTGTTTTGGTAGATCTCTGCTTGCAGTAACTTCTCCTCGAGGCCAAAGGCGTTGCAGATTGCCTGTGAGGCAGGCGACAGGGCGCGCCGGGGCACCGGGCCTCAGGGAAGATGGAAGTGCACTGGAGACAGCTGTCTCACCAAGGCCTTTTCCCAGGAGGCCAGGGTCACTGGGTGGCCGCTGGGCCCGCCCTCCCGCCTCTCGCCCCTCGCACGGAACCGGGCCTTCTCACCTCAGCGGGGCCTAGGGCATAACCTCTCCGGGGTGAGAGCCCCGAAGCCGCGCGCGCCACCCGTCCGCAGAGCCCGAGCGCCGCGCGGAGCGCAGCCACCCCGCCGAGCGCAGCCATCCGCCGCCCGCAGTGTGCACGTGCTGCCTATGCAGCCCGCACCGCCGCCGCGGTGCAGCCCTGCAGCGGCCTCCGGCGCGAGGCCTCTCGGGAGTTGTAGTCCGATGTCCGCGATGTCCGAGCTCCGAGCGCACCGAGGCTGGCCCCAGGAGCACCGGAGGGCGCGTTCCGCGGTCGCCTCACTGACCCTTTGGCAGCTGAGAGGGGAAGAAGAGCAATAGCCTGTCACCTCGTAGACAAAAGACTTGGGGCCTGCAGTCGGTGGCACGGTGGGCCCGCCGGTGGTGGGCAGACACCTGTACTGCCTCTGAGTAACTACTGAGTCTCTGGAACGTGCCTGTCCCCGCGTCCTGAAACCTGGGTGACATTCGCGGGAGGGCGGGGCGGACAGCTTTAATAAGAGGGAACTTAACCTTGATTTCAACGTGAGGTTGGGCATGCAGACCTTTTAGGGTTCAAGTCCTCTGAACCCCAGCCAATCAAAGAATGAAGGTCCCATGCCAATTTTTTCATTTTTTTTTTCAGTAAATATTTTAAGTTCTACTTCCTGCAAGCAGTAAGCTAACACCCAGTTTAAGGTGTATGTGAATAATCGCCCACAGCTCATACTTTGTAGAACTGTTGAGATCCCTGTAGAACACAAGGTGGAAAAGAAATGCCCCTTGAGCTGGGGCTGTAGCTCCATAATAAAGTGTTGGCCTAGCATGCACCCAATCCTCAGCAAGGGCAAAGAGGGAGGGAAAAAAGTCAGATAACTACTTTCAGCAAATACCTTTTGAGCACAGCTGCAGACCAGGAGTGCTTCACCACTTAAGCTCCAAATAAGGAAATAATGGACTTTGGTCATTTGAGAGCCAAGAGGAAGTTGAGTACTTCCAGAGCTTAGTCTGGCAATGATGGGCAGGGGGAAGGGTAGGATCCTGCTGCAAGAAAGAAGTCTCCTTTCCCACTAGTTGAAATTTATAGAATGTTGCCTTCCAGACCCTTTGACCCTGGAATAGTCATGCTAAGAATGAATGAGTCAACAATATAGGGAGGAAAGGATTGGGGAATGGACAGAAACTCTGATAACCAAGAAATTAGCAATATGCTTTGGTCCTCAGCTTTGAAGGGCAAAATCTAAGTGCACAAACACAGTTGATCAGGATCTGGAAGACTGACTCACATGAGCCAAACCCACAATTTTCCAACATATTGGTCCTGCCACAGGACATAGCTTTCCAAGAGTGGAATGTTCTTAACCTCTTTTCCTGCAGTTGAACTACTTAGAAATGGAATTATTAATTGGAAGGTTCTTGGGGTGCTACGTTTAAAGTATGCCCACAAGCTGGAGATATAACTCAGAGGTAAACACTTGCCTTGCATGTGTAAGGCCCTGTGTTTGATGCACAACGAAAACACAAACAAAAAATTTAATATGGCCTATCATGGTAGCACAGAGCTGTAATGACTCAGGACACTAATGCAGAAAGATTGCAAGTTTGAGGCCAACCTTGGCAACTGTTGCACCCTGTTGCAAAGGGCTAGCTTACTGGTAAAGCTTCCCTGGGGTTAGGGATGCTTGTGTAAGGCCTTGGGTTCAATCCCCAATACTTAAAAAGAAAAGGATCTTCCTTTTTAAAACATGTACACATGAGATGGGGGAATCTTACTAAATTGCTGAGGCTGGCTGGCCTCAAACTTGCAATCCTCCTGCCTCAGTCTTCTGAGTGTCTAGGATTATGGACATGTACCACTGTGCAGCTTTGCAACTTGATCAAACTTGATCGCTTTTTTTCCCCCCAGTATTGAGGAAGGAACCCAGGAACCCAGGAGCACTTTATCACGGAACTACATCCTAGCCCTTTTGTTTTTTATTTTGAGACAGTGTCTTGCTAAGTTGTTGAATCTGGATTCAAACTTGCAAACTGCAAACCTTCAAAGATATTGGCTTTCATAAGAAAGAAAGATGTGTTTCACTGACATAAACAAATCAGGAGAGAACACTATAAGCATGATATTGCACCTCCACAAACTAATTAAGTACCCGGCTCCTATTTTGCTCTGTCACACTCAAGAGCATATTATGTCATTAATATATACCAAACATGTCTTTCCATGGTGTCTGAATTTATTGAATAACAATAAATTCGCAGGCCACACCTCTTTCATCAATGGCAGTTCACTGAATACTTGTAGGTCACCTGGTAGTCATAAACCAGGCAATCACAGGTTCTTTTATTCCAATCTTAATTTCTGATATCTATAAAACTCAAGTCACACATCCCACTTTACTATATATGTATATAAACATTCATATGTATATATACATTCATATGTATATATATATATATATATATATATATATATATTACTATATAGTATATATATTTTACTATATAGTATATATATTTTACTATCTATACACATATGTGAGTGTGTGTGTATTACACAAAGGCTAGAAGAATGGTAAGGTGGCCCCAGGGGTTCAAGAGGCTGAACAGGGAGCAGACATGGATACAAAGAGTCACTGTTGGTGGTCATATAAGATTACCACTCAAAGAACTTGTTCAGAGCTCAGAGCTGTCAAAGGGCAGGAACTTACTCTAGGCCAAGGTCAGAACAATCATGGGTTCCTACTACAGGAATAGCAGAGATGCTGTGATTATAGGAGAATGGAGAATAGATAACAGGGAAGTTGGTGGTCTTGGCCTGGTCAGGGTCAGTAAAGGGTTTGCAGGGATGTCTCCCTCCCTATCTCTCTCTTGCTCACATATTCTCTCATACACATGAATTGCCCCAGGTCCCACTCAGTCCTGCTGAGGGAGAATTCTGAGAAGGGGTGGAGATCATCTCTTTAGGGGAGAAATACTCATTCCCTACCCCTGTGTTTCCCTGAACAAGGAACCTCTCTCTGTTCACAGTGCTCCTGGCCTCTCTCCATCAGGGAAGAGGAAACATGAAGAACCTGACAGGTGAGCTTCAAAGAAAGAACACAGCAAATGTGGCTTAGTCTTCTCTCCAGGGAGTCAGCCCGTTGTCACCTGGGTGATCTGCCAGGAAGGCTGGGGTTACACCTGTGCCAATGACCACAGGTTAAATGTAATGCAGTGGTAGCATTAGCAATGCCCATTTTGTCTCCTAAATGCTAGGTTCTCCAACATTCCAATAAGCTTTTAGCAGTAATGAAGATGAAGGGCCAGGGTGGTGTAGTATTTTTTTTTTTAAGTTGTAGTTGGACACACCTTTATTTCACTTATTTATTTTTATTTTTTATTTTTTTTTTTTATTAATAAAAAGTTTTTAATTTCTTTCATTTTTTTATGAGATGCTCAAGAGTTCAGGAGTTACAGTCATCAATACTTTATTTAATTCAGTCCTCTTCAATGAATTTGCTGGCTGTGATTATATTTTAACAAAATCAACAAATTATCAGCTATTTAAAAAGATGAAACTAACTGTATTGGAAAATGAAAATAGGATTTTATCATTAGATCAAAATAAAAAAAAACCAAACGAAGGATAAAATAAAGATTTTAAAAATTTGTTTTCCATTAAGATATTACATCTTTTTTTTCAGAAAAAGTATAACAGAAATTATACAAGTCACTTTTTGTGAAACATTAATATTTAGCAATGTTTTCTTTAGCTGAAATGTTATTTCAGTTGTAAAAACCATCTCCGGTTACAAAAAAACATAATCAGAAACCTTATCGGATTTAACTTGCTTTTACAAATATCCCAAGAATTCTTTAGCTAAACAGTATTTTCAATAGAAAAACATAATTTTAAAAAGTTTGGTATCTTTCTGTCGTTTTATGTACACATATTAACTGGTCTCTTTATAGAAGGTGATCTCATTAAGCACTGTAAAATAAAGGCAAGAGCTCATCACCTTTTAACAAAATATTTTGTATGCAACAACTGCAAGTATCAAAGATATCATTTAGTGATTCAAACTGCTTGCTACAAAATATTAAACAAAATACATTTATTGGATTGTTTTTCACTTTTTCAGCCACCCTCTGGCATCAAAAATAAGGACATCCCATTAATAAAACCTGCAGTGTAATTGGCTCAGTGGTTAGTTTGGGCCACTCTGTCCCCACCTTTCATTATTCTTTTTTCTCCCCAAACGCCCCCACACCCCCACAGTGGCACCATACTATTAAAAACATTAAGTACCTGGGATTTATGCCTCACATCAAGACATCATTTGAGTAATTTCAAATGATGTACAGCTTTTCATGTAAAAAAGATGTTTTGTGGTCACAATTACCTCAAAAAGTAATTATATTCAAATAACCTGACATATCATGCCTTAGCAATTACAAAACCATGATTTTGACACATGGCAATTTATAAGTTAGGCAAATGTGAAATGCTAAAAGATGTGAACAGCTGTTCTGTTTAAGTGTTCTGTTTAAGAGTGCTGCGAAACTCAGGTAATGACTTTATTTTTTTAGTTAACATAACCAGCCCACGGTACAGCATGCTAAATCATAAAGTACAAGTCCAAGGAAGGTAATACCTTTACTAAGTTACAAAACTTTGGCAAATCAACACAGTACTCTATAATACAATATTATTTATGTTGGAGTCATATATTAGACTTAGTGATGATTTTTACTCCAAAAACATCATTTAAATACCAAATCAAAACACTGGTTTTTAGCAGAGCAAGTTATTTTATACAATTTAATGTCTTTTAAAACTACACAAATTCTTATTTTAATGAGTCAGTTCCCCCATGCAGGGTGTGCTAGTCTGTTTTAGCAAAGTGAATGTGTGTGTATGAGGAGAGGCTCTGCTTGCTTGGCTCTGGGGTTGGTCCAAAGTCAGGTACAGTTCCAATGCCTGAAAAGTGTTAAAATTCTATTTTAAGGAGACTCAATGTCAATATCTATTTCTCCAGAGTACTTAAAAAAAAAAATTGTTAAATTTCACATAAATACTAGAACCCTAGAAATTAGTCATTTCAAGCCACAATAACCTCAGATGATCCCTTGGATTTTAAAAGTCCTGTATCTTTTTGTTTTGATCAAAAGTCACACAGCCTTACTCCAGATTATTAGAAAAAAATTCTACCTAAAATACAGTTGTACTTTTAAATAACAAATAAATACACTGTCTGCTTGGAGAGACCTGGGGATTTGATATTCTATACTGACTTTATCATTTTTCTACAAATGCCGCCGCCGCCATTGGTGTCCTTATGCTTCCTCTTGCTGAAGCCGTCAACTCTTCAATCTCAGCATTTAATTTATGTATTACCCATTCCATTGCTTCTCGGCCTTTACTAGCATTAGAAGATATTGTGGTCGCCATCAGTCCTTCCAGGTAACTGCTAA